GGAATTTAAAGGGTAGGGCTGATGGTTGGTCACCTGAGGGCAGGCAGTAGAGTTCAAACCGATGACTAGAGAGGTGAGAACAGGCATTGTGGGACACCTCCCGGAGGCCAATCACATTGCTGTAATCGCCACAGTGTCTACACTGGCACCACAGCGCTATAGCCCTGGCGCAGAAAGCTCTACGCCTCTCGTCGGGGTGGATTTTTTACTGCTCTGCAACTGCTCAGTTTCTGCGCACAAAGTGGCTTGGCAGTGTGTACACCTCTGCAGTTGGAGTGCAAAAAACTGCTTTACTGCACACAAACTTGCCAATGTAGACATAGATTCATAGATTCTAGGACTGGAAGGGACCTTGAGAGGTCATCGAGTCCAGTCCCCTGCCCTCATGGCAGGACCAAATACTGTCTAGACCAGTGGCTCTCAAACTTTTTTTTCGCAGACCACTTGAAAATTGCTGAGGGTCTCGGCGGACCGCTTAATGATCTTTCCAAATGTTATTTGTACCATTAGCTAACTATTGTAAAGCATTTTGGATAGAAGTGCTATATAATAATAATTAATTTTTTTTGTTCTACAAATAAAAGCACACAACACAAATTTTAATATCAGTAGTCTTATCTTTCTAATGCGATGGATGTGCCCTCTTTCCTGCCATGGCAGCCCCTGAACGGAGGCTGGGAAGGATGGGGGGGGTCTCTCCCTCTCTCCCCCACCATGGCAGCCCCCGAGCTTGGACTGGGAAGGATGGGGGGAGGGGTCTCTTCCTCTCTCTCCCATCGCAGCAGCCCCTGAGCTAGGGCTCGAAAGGAGTGGGGTCTCTCCCCCACCACAACAGCAACAGAGCTGAGGCTGGGAAGAAGGGCTGTCTCTCCCTGGCAGCCGCAGCCCTGGAGCTGGGGAAAGTCACTTGTTTCTGTGGCCGCTGCAGCCCTGCACATCCCAAATTCCCCCCACCCCCTTTCTCACCCCATTGCCCCCCTCCCATCTACCCCTTATTCCTCCCCAAGGCCACCACCTCACCTTACATGTGCGTCTTCTCCAGGGTCCAGGTACCTAAGTAGTGGAGCCATGCCTGCATAGCTTCACTAATTAGGCGGGTGGCCCTTCATTCTTCTGTGTGCGGCTGCCCAGGCATACATCTTAGAGGGAACTATCCATGGACCACCTGAATGGAGCTCGTGGACCACTGGTGGTCCATGGACCACGGTTTGAGAACCACTGGTCTAGACCATCCCTGATAGACATTTATCTAACCTACTCTTAAATATCTCCAGAGATGGAGATTCCACAACCTCCTTAGGCAATTGATTCCAGTGTTTAACCACCCTGACAGTTAGGAACTTATTTCTAATGTCCAACCTAAACCTCCCTTGCTGCAGTTTAAGCCCATTGCTTCTTGTTCTATCCTTAGAGGCTAAGGTGAACAAGTTTTCTCCCTCGTCCTTATGACACCCTTTTAGATACCTGAAAACTGCTATCATGTCCCCTCTCAGTCTTCTCTTTTCCAAACTAAACAAACCCAATTCTTTCAGCCTTCCTTCATAGGTCATGTTCTCTAGATCTTTAATCATTCTTGTTGCTCTTCTCTGTACCCTCTCCAATTTCTCCACATCTTTCTTGAAATGCAGTGCCCAGAACTGGACACAATACTCCAGTTGAGGCCTAACCAGTGCAGAGTAGAGCGGAAGAATGACTTCTCGTGTCTTGCTCACAACACACCTGTTAATGCATCCCAAAATCATGTTTGCTTTTTTTGCAACAGCATCACACTGTTGACTTATATTTAGCTTGTGGTCCACTATAACCCCTAGATACCTTTCTGCCATACTCCTTCCTAGACAGTCTCTTCCCATTCTAAATGTGTGAAACTGATTGTTCCTTCCTAAGTGGAGCACTTTGCATTTGTCTTTATTAAACTTCATCCTGTTTACCTCAGACCATTTCTCCAATTTGTCCAGATCATTTTGAATTATGACCCTATCCTCCAAAGCAGTTGCAATCCCTCCCAGTTTGGTATCATCTGCAAACTTAATAACCATACTTTCTATGCCAATATCTAAGTTGTTGATGAAGATATTGAACAGAGCCGGTCCCAAAACAGACATACCCTCAGTCTCTGACTCTTGGAGTGCGTATCCAGCACTCGCCCTCATTGTTTTTGCTGATAGATACTGGTCATTTTCATTGTCCTAAGAACAAGAAAAATCTCATGAGAAAGGCTAGGGAAACATGAAAAGAAAATCAGAAAGGACTATTTTGGAAAGTTATCATTTGTCTTTTGAAGTCCCCAATAAATCTGAACTCCAGCCTGCCAGAATAATTTAACATGTGACAGAACAGTCTTCACCAAAAAGAGAAAAACCCACAAGGCAGGGTGGGCTACAAACCACTTTCCCATTCATGAAGTGAAATCCCAGAGAATCTTAAGATTCAAAATCTGGAGAACAAATTTAGCCATTTCCTTCTGAACAGGCCAAACCTGCTTTATTCAGCACCGTCACATTATTTGGCTGTGTTATTGACAAAAGTTTTAAGCATCATCATCATAAAAGAAAGAGGAAAACAAGACGAGCCTAACCAAAAACTTCCTATTTACAAATGATCTGGATTTAGCTGGAAAAACTCCAGATGCCACTTTACCAATAGATGGAGGCTGGGATTTGTAGACCTGAATTTATGGGTCTAGTTTGTTATGGCTCGCCAGTGATCTGATTAGAAGAATTTAGGTTTATGTCCCAATTCAAGCTCCCAGAGGGTTAAAGAACACAGATAGCCTATGTCTGGAGCAGACTCTTGCCGTGTGTGGCAAGGGCACTGATACTGAGGACAATACCAGAGTTTTAAGATCTTTATTAAAACAAGTGAAAAAGCAATCAAAGCTACAAGGCACAGAGTCACAAATCAGTAATACAATCCTAAAATTCCTGGTGGTAACATTCTTATTCTAAAGACTATTTAAGCTAGCATGCTCACACCCTTCCCTGAAGACATGGTAGTAGGAGACAGAGGACCAGCCCTGTCTCTGGCATGCCCGATAGATTTGATGGTCTAGGTGGAGATCAGGACTAGATGATGAGTAGCTATGTTGCCAAGCTGAGCTGATAGCTTAATAGAAGGTATAAAGAGTGACGAACGAGCGATACCTCTGCACTGTTGTTTGCCCTTTTATAGGGTCCTCATGATAGCATGAATATTCATAGCCGTGCCCAATCTACCGTGCCCAAGTCTTATTTCCTCACCCAGATAAATCTTCGGCTACGCTTATTCTATAGGCTAACATATTGTGACATATATTCATACATGTTAATGTTGATTATCTCATCCCTGAAATCATTACCTTTGACATTAATCATAACTTCCATGTTCTGCTGCGCTGCACCCTGGGTTACCGGTCTGTTCCAAACTTAAGGTAAACACCTTCGGTTCTTCATTTGATTCTCTATTCAGTTCCCCCAGAGACAAAGGGGTTGCCAATAGGACATTTATCTATGCCAAAGGTTGCAATCACTTATCCTAACTAACTCAAGCTAAGCTTCCTCTTACAGGATATGGGCCTGTAGGCTCCTTTGCGTTACAACCAACTATTCTGAGTAATATATATTGAGATCTGGTATAAACCAAACTCCCTGAAGATAAGAATATAATCAATCAAATCAATAAAGAAAGCACTCTAGGCAATATAGCAAGCTAGAAAAGTAACCTTATGGGCTACAGATTTAAGCTCAAACTGTGCTTTGGGGTTCATTTGAATTCCCCCTTCAGGAATGTGACACTTTTTTCTCCAGCCCTCAAGGGTCTGATTAAGGATCAAAGAAATCAAAGCCTGATTCCTAAGCATGGTGGGAAAAGGACACTGTGGTAAATGACACACATGAAGGTGGAGGGGTAGAAAGGAAAAAGGATAAACTCTCCATGGCTTGGGCAGAGGCTGCTCTGTCAGAGAAGATGTGTGAGCTTGATGGGGGCAGGAGGGAATCCCTCGGACTGAACCCATCCCCCTCAAATAAAACAGAAGTTAAAACACTACATTATTTTACTATCCCTGCTCCAGCTCTTTTAGACTCTATTGAATGCTGGTGTATAAGGAAGAAACAGCAGAAAAAATGAATTTTTTTTCAGCATTACCTGGAGCAATGTGAGGATGTCTGAGAATGACACAATCTCACTGCTAAGGGGGCACTTAGTAAGTCTAACAATCAATTTGCTAATGGGGGATTGGAATAAACTGCTCAGGGTCAGTCTAGACTAGAAAAAGGGGAGGAGGAACAAAGGAGATGTACTGGCTAATCCCAACCACTTCTCCTGCCCTAGACAGACATTTGGAGGCTGATATTATCATCCCCCATTTATTCCCTCTCTGGAAGGCACAGATTTGTCTCGGGTCACCCCGCAAGCTGCTGGCAGAGTTGGGAACAGAGCTTAGGTCTCCTGAGTTCCAGGCCAGAGCTCTATCCATTAGGCAGCGCTGCTTCCCTCTCAGAGGCTGATGCTGCTGTAGCAGAGGTGGGAATTCCAGGCTTCCAACAAAAGGCCCTGTGGGAATCAGTCTCTGCCAATGGTGCTGTCTGAATGCAGAGGGGGCAGGGAGAAGGGGCAGAGGGGGTGAGTGATGAGGCAGCACCTCTCTGCCCCTGTGCTCTCCCTCGCCTCTTATCCCATGATCCCTAAACACTCGATAGCCCCAGCACCCAACTCTCCCTGCTTCCCAGCTCCCGCAGCCCCAGCCATTCAATCCCCAGTTTCCTCACCATAGCCCATTGGCTAGTCTCTTAACGTTTGATCCCCCAGAGCCCAGTGCTCTGGGGGATTTGGGGAGGGGAGGAGTTACTAGCCCCTGCAGGGAACAGCTCCAGGTCAGTGGGGGAGCCCAGCCCAGGGGCTGGTGGAAGATGGGGGGTGGGGACAGGTGTGTAGAGTGAAGGTGGGGCCTGGCCCAAGTGTCCTTCTCCTCATCTCCATGGCAGGGGGATCCCGGCTGGGAGGGGAAGGGAGAGGGGGGAACTTCAGCCAGGCAGAGGGAGCGGCTGGAGGAGTTTCTCTGTCTCCCTTCCCCCACCAGTGGCCCATCAGCTCAGCAGCCAGGGCTGCAGCAGGGGGGAGGGGCTGATGGGGGCTTCTCCTCCTCTGCTTGGGGTTTGCTGAGACCAGGCAGAGCCAGAGGGTCACAGACCAATTGATGCTCGGCTGCTGCTGGATCCTCACCCCAGCGATGGGCAGCTGGATCCTTGGGAGCCAAACGCCCCTGATGTGTGTGGGAACGAGGAAATGGGTTGGTCACCATGGCCAGCCCCAGTCAGGGCCCTGAGAGAATTTCCCTGCTGTGTGGAGGAGTCTCTGATGTCCAGTATGGTGTTAGCTCCACTTGGGGAATTTTCCACATTGAGAACACCTCAGAGGTTTCTTCCCTGTGTGGATTTGCGGATGCCTGACCCCAAATGAACTTTCCCCCACATTCAAGGTGTCTCTTTTGTGTGGATCACTGATGTGTGAAGTAAAATTGAACCTTTTCCTGTAGTCAAGCTATTTCTGAGGTCTCTCACCCTTGTGTATTCTCTGATGAGTGGTAAGCGCTGACCTCCTACTGAAGCTTTCCCCACATTCAAGGCATTTATAAGGTCTCTCTCCAGTGTGGATTCTCCCATGTTTAATAAGGTATGCGCGCAGACAGAAAGTTTTCCCACAGTCCAAGCATTTATGGGGTTTCTCTCCTGTGTGGGTTTTCTCATGTGCTTTAAGGTTTGATTTGAAACGGAAAGCTTTCCCACAGTCCAAGCATTCATGCGGTTTCTCTCCTGTGTGGGTTTTCTGATGTGTAGTAAGGGTTGATTTCAAATTGAAACTTGTCCCACACTCAGGGCATTTATAGGGTTTTTCTCCTGTGTGGATTCTCCTATGATTAGTAAGGGCTGAACTTGCGATAAAACATTTCCCACACTCCAGGCATTTATAGGGTCTCTCTCCTGTGTGGGTTCTCTCATGAGTTAAAAGTGCTGAGCTCTGACTAAAACTTTTCCCACACTCATGGCATTCATAGGGTCTCTCTCCAGTGTGGGTTCGCTCATGTGCAATAAGCGTTGCACTCTGACTAAAACCTTTCCCACACTCAAGGCATTTATAAGGTCTCTCTCCTGTGTGGGTTCGCTGATGTGTAATAAGCGTTGCACTCTGACTAAAACTGTTCCCACACTCACCGCATTTAAAAGGTCTCTCTCCTGTTTGCACTCTCTGATGTATAATAAGTTGTGACTTCTGAATTAAGATTTTTCCAGAGTCCAAGCATTTATAAGGCTTCTCTCCTGTGTGGGTTCTCTGATGTGTAAGAATGTTTCCACTGAAACAGAATCTTTTCCCACAGTCAAGGCATTTGCAGGGTTTCTCTTCACTATGACTTGTCTGCCGGACTGTGGTTTCCTTGGGATCCTTGCATCCTCTGCCATGTTGAATTGATTTGTCCAGTTTCTTCCCGGGATAGTTTCCCAGCTGCATCTCTGATCTGTGTCGATCTCCCCAGGCATTTCCCTGCTCCAAGCGCTGGGGAAAATTCCATTCAGCTCTTCTCAAAAACCTCTCCTGCGGTTCCACTTTCCCAGGAACTTCCTGCTGCTGATTCTCCTCCTTGTTCTCACTCACTGTCCTATCACCTGCTGGGAGAGAGAGAATCCAGACAGGAGTTATTGCCTGTGCCAGGGGGAAAGGACAGAAAGGGGAATAGCAAAGAGGGAAAACACAACACAGTGACTGTTGGGGAGATGGAGACACTGGATTCTGCCTCCACATCCCACCCAAACACTCCCAGGGAAGAAAAGTCAGGGAGGAAATTCCCACAGCTAACAAGATGGGTGAGAAGCCGTGACTGATCTTTGCCTTGATGCTACGACACCTGCTGACTGCAGCCCTGACCTGGGTGAGATAGGGCAGAACTGAGGGTTCTTGGTCACAGCAAGTTTTTGGGAGTCCCAGCTTTTTCCTTCACTCACCAGATGTTTATCTGTTTCCCCCATTCCTCACCTGTGCAGGTGCCTCTCAGGCCCTCTCTTTCCTCAGTGACTTGGAGATCCGGGACCCACGGCTCTTCCCCTCTTTCCAGCTGGGCAATCAGGTCCGGTTTGGGAATGGGGAATCCTGCTAAGCAGTGAAATTAGACAAGGTCAGGCCGCATGGAGTCTTGGTAGAGTATTTGTTACATGGAATATTCCCTGAGTTTAACCTGTCCCTACATGGGATGTAGCAGCTCAGACCCCTTGGGAGCAGCAGACATCTGGAAGGTATGGGGGTATTGTCACTCCCTCACTAGGAGGTCCCAGGGTAGATGCTCTCTGGGGACTCACTGACACACACACAGCTCAGATGTTAAACTCCTGCCTATTTCCAAGCCTGCAGAATGGAGAGCCCTCCCCACAGATGGAGCTAGTCCCAGGATGGAAGGTGAACGGTCTGTGAAGAAGAAATAATACAGACAGGGGAATACCCTGCTTCTGGCCTCTTGAAAGCTGGAGAGATGGGGATGAATTGGGCTGTCCATTAGGTTTCTGCCTCCCCTGTTCCCTAGAATGGGGTGTGGAGATAAAAGGTCTCTCACACTGGAGCTGTGGATTATGCGACCCTCTCCCTCCAAACTAACTCACCAGAGAAGAATCTGACCAGAGTCAGATATGCAGATCCACAGCTTCTAATAATCGAGGGGACGGGTATCTCTTACCCAGCGAGGTCACTGTCTCATAATTCTCCTGCATGACGTCCCTGTAGAGAGCTCTCTGACCGGGGTCCAGCAGAGCCTCTTGCTCCTCCGTGAAATACACAGCCACCTCCTCGAAGGTCACCGGCATCTGAAACATCAGTTCCCCCACTCAGCATCTGCAGCCCCAGCAACAATCCCACTAGTCACAGGGGAGGAAGCCCAGAAAAGCAGAATCCCACCCGCACCCTGCTCAGACCAGCCAGCAGGCTTTAGGGGGTGGGGAGAAGGTGAGAGCTCCTTGTCCCCCCAGCACACGGAGCAGGGCAGGGTCTTCTCATTTCCCACACGCCTGCCAGCCACAGGCTGATATTGGAAGCAGAGCTCTGAGCCAGGGACAGGGACAGGAATCCCGACAGCTTCCCTTCGTATTTCACAGCAGCCTCTGGCCAGTGGGGTCAGGCTCCAGCACTGGGAGTCTGGTCAGTTTTCCCAGCCCTGCCTAGAGGGGGTGTTTCCTGATTCAGAAATGGGGGGATGTTTCCAGCATCTGCAAATGGTTCTGTTCAGAAAATCAGGCTCCAGATTGAACGTGTCCCAGCAGGTTTATCACATCTTGTCCCCTCCCTGCCTCTCCCTGGGTCTTTCCTGCCCCTTTCCCCTCTACAATAATTCCCCCTGCAGCTCCCTGAAAATCCCCTACCTGAGCTGGCTCCATCACAGGCATTTCCCTTCTGCGAAATGTGGACATGATTCCTCAGCCTGTCAGGGCGAGAGGGGCGATGGGGGAGGTTTCAGAAGGGGCTTGAGTCCATTTCATACCCCGATTCCCCCCAGGCTCTCTCCCTGCAGACAGACTCTCTGGACTCTGCCATGCTGGAAAAACCCTCAGTCACTTTATTACAACACAGACCTGGCCCCTCCCACCAGCACTGAACCCCTGAGACACTTTTAAACCCCACCAGGGACAGAGTCACTAAGACAAATGCTAGAAAAAAGCAGAATCAAAGGAGCCACTTTGGGGGATTCCCCCTGGGGCTGCACGTCCCCCCAGCAGTGCGGCAACTAGGCAGAATCTGGCTTTTCCTCTGTGAGCTCCTCCCCTTGTTCCCAGGAGAGTGAGTCGGCCCAGGGGGATGCAGGGAATGGATCCGGGCAGGGCTGGGAGCTGGGAACCTCCCTCCCCACTTCTTGCTCCTGCTGCCCCTTTCGATCTCACCATTCCCCTTCTTGTCTCCGTCCCTCCCCCCTCTGCCTGGGAGAACTGGGTACTGTCCCGTTCCCATGGGTGTTGGCTCTCCAGTGTGAGCCTGGCTGTGTCACTGGGGGTAGGAGTTCCAGGACCCACAGAGCAATAGGGAGCCCCTCCCCCTCCGGTACAAACTCACCAGCAGGTCCCTGAAAGGGGCCCTTTGTGCAGAGTCACTTTCCTCCCCGGCCCCAGTCCTTTCCCCCAGATATCTCCCAGTCCCCTGCAGCTCAGGGGCTGGTGTGGGCAGAGCCGGGGCTGCCCAAGGGGCTGATTCCAGCCACTGAAGAAAGTGTTCACCTGGGCTGGGCACAGAGGGACGATTAATGAAGGTCTGTCCCTGGCACAGCCCCAGCTGGGGAGCAGCAGTTTCACAGTCTGGGCTCTCAGGTAGAGGAGGCAGCAGTATCTGACCCAGGCAGCTCAATTCAAGGGCTCCAATATCAGAAGCAGAGAGAGACACACACCAGCCTCCTCCTCTCCCTGAGCAATAGCCAGAGCCCTCTGGTGGCAGCAGCTAATGACTGAGCCTCCCTGTGCTACCCTTGCAGCCCCCGGGACAGGCAGGCAGAGGCTGATCCCATTGGCCCATCCGCACTCACCCCCTGCCAGAGCCAGCAGTGACTCCGGTCTGACACCGGTGTGGCTGAGATCTGAATCCTGCCCAGAAATCAGACCAGGGCCCTGGGCAGCCCCCAACACTGTGGAGACAGACCGTAAAATCATGAGTGTGTCTGAAAATCATAAACTGGGAGCGGGGGGCGGGGGTGTCTAGATATTTGCCTTGTAGCTTCTAAGACCTTAGGTGGAAGCCCCGTCCTCCAAAGCTATTTGCGGTAAAAGAATTCCCCTCTGGCTGTGGGGTGGGGCAGCCCCTCACCCTCTCCTGCCCCATGAGGTGGGGGAGCTGCCCTTGTATCTCTCCCTCTCATTCTCCCCGACCCTTGCCCAGTTTCTCTCCCTCCCCAGCCAGTCTGTTCTTACTTTGTCTCCCCCCAGCTCCGCTCCCCACATACCCCCCTTTCCTTCGCAGTGTCCCCCTCAGAGTTTCCTTCTATTGCAGCCCTGTTCCCATCTGCCCCATAAATCTCCCGATTGCCCTGCATTGCCCCATCCTCCCTTCAGCAATCCCCTGCCCCATCCCATCCTGCCCCCTGCATCCCCCTTCACTCTCCTCCTGCCCCATCACACAGCCCTTCCCACATATAAGTCCCCTCCTCTTCTCCCACCCACGGTCCCTCTTCAGACCCCTGCCCAGGTGTGACTGTCCCAGCCCCAGCACGGCCCGGGCTGGCTCCCCCCGCCTCTCACACACCGGTTCCCTGCCCTGGGCCCGGGAAAGCTGCCGCCAGCTCCGCTGGGAGCAGCCTGCGGACAAACCTCCCCCTGCAGCCCGGGTGTGACGGTGGGGGGGCGAGTCTCTCTTACCTTCCCTCCGAGCGGGGCCCCCTGGGGCAGGGGCCGGGCCGGGAAGGGGCCTGGCCAGGCTGGGGGCTCTGCCCTGGGAGAGGCTCCTGGGGAGCAGCGGGAAGGGCCCTGCTGGAGATTCCCCTCTCCCGGCTGCAGCCAGGGCTCCGGGCTCCCAGCACCAGCCGCCGGGGCTCGGGGATCTCGCCAGGAGCCTGGGTCCAAGGGTCACTGCAGCGTCTGCGATTCCCTTCCTGCTGCCGGGGAATGAGCGACCCCAGTATCGCTCCCACCCAGCTGCTCCTGGGTCCTAGCGATATCTCCCGGAAGGCGCTTTGCCTCTCTGTGTCTGGCTTCTGTTAAGTCTTTAAGGTCAGAAGGGACCATCATGATCATCGAGCCCAGGGATTCTCACCACCAAATTTTTGATGGCCTCAGAGTGCGACCAGCAGCTCTTGGGGTGGCCACTCTGATGGTTTTTTCTAAAATATGTAATTACCTTTAGGAAAAAAACAATAAATATGCACAGAGGTAAGCGGGGAACAGTGGGAAACTTTCCTGGTTTATAGACTGCCCCCATGGAATGGAATAGCAGAAGGATCTGGGTCCTCGCTCCCACTCCTTATACCCAGAGGCCTGCCTGCCCTCGAGGACTCCCCTTCCACTCTCCTGTGTAGCAGAGTCCTTGTAACCCTGACAAGGGTAGGCCCAGGGTTCCTGAGGGGCTCGACACCGAACCTTGTGATCACTCAGGACAGGGGCTAGGCTGTCCCTACTCTGGGATACTGTCTCTGCTCTCCCTCCTCCCTGACCATTGTATAGAGTTCAGAACAAATGCAATTTATTAAACAGCAACTAATAAAAAAAAAAATCAGGAAAAAAATGGGAAAGGTTAAAGGAAAACACGTCACCCCACTCTGTGGGATGAACCACAAACAGACGTCTCTGGAATGTCAAGGCAGTTCACAGTCTGTTCCTCCCACGTCCCAGGCCTCCCTCCCAGGCCCTGGCTGTGCTGCAGGGATGCTGCGGGTTGGACACCTGCTTTGGCGGTCGCCTCACGCCCTCAGGCTCTAGGTGACAGGACCCTTCTTCCCAGTGTTCCCCCACCCATTGGAGTTGAGATCCCCCTCCCAGTCCAGCCTGCAAGGCCTCTTGGCTGGGGGCATCTTCCTGCGCCAGGCCCTCTGCCCACGTCCCCCTCGCTCTCCCAAGCTGCTCACCGCACCAGGCTTCGGACTGCTCCAGCCCCAGCTCCCCTCTGCCTCAGCGCTGCTGCTGTTCTGCCTCCAGCCCAGACCCCCCACTCAGAGTTTCTCTCTAGT